GACGCCTTCTCCAAGGAAGAAAACGAGGAAGATACACATAAAAGCACCATCATATGCACTTGTGAACGGGGAACTATATAGGAAAGGGTTCACAACGCCTTGGTTGAAGTGTGTGGATGAAGCCAGGGGAAAAGAAGTGCTTCATGAGGTACACGTCGGCCAGGCGGGTGCGCATGAACGAGCACGCCCCCTAGTAGGAAAGGTACTCCGCTTGGGAATTTATTGGCCTACCACGTACCAAGACGCGGTGGAACTGACAAGGAAATCGCGGAATGCCAAGCATACTCACCATTCCAAGGAAATCCTCCAGCCCCCTGACTAACATCTCCAGCCCATGGTCGTTCTATCAGTGGGGGATAGATATTGTTGGGCCATTCCCAGAGGCCCCGGGGAAAATAAGGTACATGGTGGTCGCGGTCGACTACTTTACAAAATGGATTGAGGCCGAGCTAGTGCCATGCATATCGAGAAGGAACATGATCAAATTCATATGGAAGAACATATTGACCTGATTCGGAACGCCCAAGACACTCATCAGTGATAATGGGCTACAGTTCGTAGAAAATCCTTTCAGAGACTGGTGCGCTAGCAAAGGGATCACTCAACGATTTACGTCAGTAGCACATCCCCACTCAAACGGGCAAACAGAAATATCCAATCAGACAATTGTAAACGGAATCATGAAAAGACTGGGGAAAGCTAAAGGGAACTGGGTCAAGGAACTTCCTGCAGTGTTATGGTTATACAGGACAATGCCAAGAAGAAGAACGCAGGAAATTCCATTCAGCTTAGCATATGGAGCGGATGGGATGCTTCCAGTAGAAGTGACGATAGGCACCTTGAGGAAAATTCACGCTGAGGAGGAAACAAATTCCCAGGATCTAAGACTACATCTAGATCTCCTCGAGAAGCGACGAGAACAGTCAGGGGTGTGATAGGCCGCATACAAGCACGTCATAGAGAAAAATTACAACTAGAGGGTCAAAGAAAAGGCATTCAAAGTGGAAGACTATGTGTTGAGATGGAATGAAGCAAGTCGAGTCATGCCACAAGGAAAATTGGGCCCCTGGGGGAGGGCCCGTATAAAATTATTGAGGCAAATTGCAATGGAGCATATGCACTGGAAACAATGGAAGGAACGGAAATTCTAAGAACTTGGAACGCAAGGAACTTAAGGAAATTCTACTTCTGATAAACACGAATGGTTAGTGCATAAGCCGGCAAGCCCGAACCTTTCATCTAACACATCTAGGGCAGTTATACAATCGTAGTGCTCAGTAAAATACTCAATTTATCAAAGTGCAAACTTCCCACACCCAAATACTTAGTGTATTAAGCACAAAAACTCTCATACTTAGTGTATTGATGATTAAATACTCAATGTATTAAGCGCATGCTCAGCACATTATTGTTAAGTACTCAGTGTATTAAGCGCAAAAACTCTCATACTCGGTGTATTAATGATTAAATACTTAGTGTATTACGCGCATGCTCAGCAAATTATTGAGAAATGCTTAGTATATTAAGCGCAAAATCCTCATACTCAGTTAATTGATGATCAAATGCTTGCTGCTTTAAGAGCATGCTCGGTATGTTAATATTAATACTTAGTGTACTAAAGCGCGAAAATTCTCATGCTCAGTGCATTGATGATTAAATTCTTAGTATATTAAGAGCACACCCATCATGTCAATATTAAACACCCAATGTATCAAGTGCGAAAACTCGCATTACCGACAAGAGCAATGGTAGCGCTTTAACAAGTGGAGGAGCACAATCCTCCAATCAGCGCCCCGGATCCTATCGGCTCAGGAGATCCTGTATCGTACGGGCGAGTAGGATCGTTGAGTATAAAAGGAAAGGCTCATGGCCCCACCAGGTAAGACCCCTTCTCCAAGATATACTCATACACACTCCTTAAAATCTATTGACTTGCCCGTTGGAGCGTCTTTCTGGGAGCACCCTCTCGGGAAACGGCTGACAACCACTTTTCTCTGTGATCTTGTTAGGAGCAACTCAGAAACTGTTTCCGAAGTCTACTCAGAGCAGGAGCAAGTCGCATCAGCCTTAAAGGTTGAAACTTTACTTCTAAAGAGATACCTTGAGCTCCATGGGTGGCAACCCTAAGCTCAAAATCAAAGTTGCATGATAAATGTCCATCCTTTGGACCTAAAATGGTCCTAAGCTTCATAAATCTAGATTTAAGCTTCTAAGAGGAAAGTTTGAAACTTTATACCTCCTGTGAGTGCCAAAAGGATCAATAGTCCCAGATCCTTGAGCTCAAGATACTCAAGTTCTTCTTCTCCAACTCTTCTTATCTTCTTCCAAGCTTTTCTTTACCAAAAATGAGCTCAAAAGGTCAAACAGACACACACACACACACACACCAGTGGAGTATGAGGACGTATAGGGTTTTCTGAGGGTGAGGGACTAGTAAGGAGGCCAGGGGGAGGCTATAATGGGGTATTTATATGTCTTAAACCCTAAAAATTAGGGTTTGGCATTTGCTCGCGTACACTGAGGGTACCTCATGGTACGTTGCGTGTACGTTCCCGCGTCCCCCAGATCCAATGAGCCTCTACACCCTACGTACGCCAAGGCTACGCCCAGCGTACGACTTATGGGCGGCGCAATTCTCTCGGCCCACTAGATTAAGTCCATTCCGTAATACTTCTATCTACATTTAGCCCAACAAATAATTAAGAAATATAAAATAAAATAATACCTCAAAGACGGTCGTTACAGTTGGAAGTTTAATAACTAAGCCTAGCAGGAAATGAGGTGATAAACTCTCCATGCTAGGATGTTAAGCTTACCTGAGATTAGCTTATTCCATGCCCACCCGTAAGGTGTTTGGGGAAGATAGAGATGTCAATATATTCTCCTAATGATGCAACCATGAATCGCTTCAAATTATTAAGAGCCCAAGAGCAACCATCATAACTAAAGGGGGAGATTAAATGATGAAAAAATATAAAAAAATAGAAGTTTGTCTTGAGCGAGAAGTTGATTTTGGTTGGGAATAGCACTCGAAGAGTTTCGTTTCCTTTTAACCATGGTTGGGTGTGGGAAATGCCATCAGGACCGTATAAAGATTTGATAATAAGGATAATGCCATAAAAACCCTCTAATTATCAAGAAATGTTCGGTTGTATCCTAAGTCCATTTTTATGTCTAAAAACCGCACATTTGGGCAAAAATTGTCATAATTGTCCTCTTTTCCGATATTTCCCTTCTATGTAATTAAGGGGTGTATGGTTGTCGACACATGTTAAAGGGTGTTTGGCATTAGGGGATGTCAAAACGAAGTTGGGCATTGTCTGCAACTTCCGACAACCCTTTGTGGTCCTTCTCTCATCGTCGGCAACCACCAATCGACGGGAAAAAGAAGTAGTGACAGGGTGGATCGTTAAAGATGAACGGAAGGCAGTAAAGCATAACTCCGGTGGTTAAGCAGAACGCGAGGAGGGGAAAGGAGTCGATCTCCAACGGGATCCCCTTGGCCACCTCGTCCTAGTCTCTGACATCAATCTGAAATGGATGCAGCACCAGCAGTTGACCAATGGAGAGCACCATCGATGCTCTATCTGACTGAAGAGAGAGAGAGAGAGAGAGAGAGAGAGAGAGAGAGAGAGAGAGAGAGAGATGGATAGAGGGAGAGAGAGAGAGAGAGAGAGGGAGAAAAAAAAAGAAAGAGAAAGAGAGAGAGAGAGAGAGAGAGAGAGAGAGAGAAAGAGAGAGAACAAAAACGACAGTAGGTGGGGGGTTTTGTTGGTGCTCAACAAACCAAAAGGAGGAAGGATTGAAGTCGGTAGCTGGTGGTGGCGGTAGCGGGCTGGAGATGGTGGTGGATCAAGGTGGAAGTAGGCGTCTCCAGCGAGTCCTTCGTGGCTCGTTCTTTGTGGTTGGCTATTGTCGAAATGAAGGAAAGGGAAACAAAAGATCGAGGGGTGTTTGTGTTGCAATTAATGAAGAAAGAAGAAGGTGGAGGGGATGCTAAAAGTGGCAGCAACGAAGGTGGCAACCCTCCCTTTCTTCATCGGTTTACCAACGATGGAATGAAAATAGTGAGCAAACCAAACACACTTTAATCTTATAACCAAACATCCATAATGTCATAGAAGGGTAAAATCATAAAATAGGACAATTATGACAATTTTTGTCTAAATGTACAGCTTTTGTGAACATAAAAATGGACATAGGTCTTACAGTGTTGTTGCTAAAGGTCTTAAATCTCCACAATATCTTTGATATGGCAAGATTTTGCGACTTTAGACTTCCAATGCCAAGACCCTCATGGCAAACTTTTTTGTTCCATATGATTTTTTTTCCAAATGCCCATTCCAAAAGAATCTCTCTTTTTCCTTTTTTTTCCAAGTTTTCATTGTATTTAGATAAGAGGCATGTTTGATACGGAGCTTTTGAAAGCATTTGGAAACTTCTATCTTTTAACTTTTGACTAAACGTTTTAGTTTAAACAAAAAACTTCATTTTAAGGTAGAAACATTACTGAACTTTTGAAATCAATTTACATAGTTAGAAAGCATGTGTTTGATAAAAGTAGTTCTTTATATATATATATATATATATATATATATATATATATATATATATATATATATATATATATATATATATATATATATTTTGAGTATGGATGGGTGTTATGACACCAAAAAATTATCACCTCATCACAAGGATGCATGCCATAACGAGAAGAAACGAGAAGGGGTGGCGGGTTACCATGCCGTCAAAGCATGTCCACGTCGACAATAACGAGAACAAGAAGCCCCCATACTAAGCTATTTTGTTAAAAACGCCCAAGATGTAAGTGCCGAGAGTACCCTTACCCAAACGGATTTGCAAAGCGCCTTGGAACTTCCAAACGACACGAAACTGTATTGATTTTTTTTTCTTTATACGTGTTGCTTGTGATCATTTTTCAATGTACATGTCGACCAATAATTTTTTCTTGACGTGCCCCACAAATGATAAAAGCGCCCGTGACCGAATTAATTAACAAAAATCCAAAACCCAATTAACACATGTTTTCAGAACACCATCAATTATCGTAGCTTTGTGAAAGTGACTTTCCTTAATAGAAAATAAATAAATTAACATTGCCTAAAAAGTCAATAATAACCTTACATTAACAAAATATGCAACATGAAGTTCATGTTTTCATTCATTTTTACAAACATTTCATCCCCATCCCACTTCCCCACTAGTGACGGTGGTGCTCGCATTCCACCGGCACCGACGGAAACCTGCCGGCGTCACTGCAGTAGTCATAAATCATATGGTTCGCCCTCACCCAAATCAGCTGGTGGCTTTGATGCACATTCAACTCCGACAATATTGGTTGATCCCACCAACCGCCGCTGCTAGCACACCGCTTTGCGTTATCGGAATCCGCCGTGGACACCGGACATTCACAACCATTGATCTCAAATGACCGGTAGGAAGCGACAAACGGAGCATGGGTCCAGTCAGTTTTAACCCGACCACCTTGTGTCGCCCAGTCGTCAGCATTCCAAATTGAGCTGTACACACCCATCGCTTGGTCTTTAGGGAACGGGATACCCTTGTGCTCCAAATTACTGTGAACTCTAATCGGGGTTTCATCAACCAAAAACCTGCAACAAAAATTTACACCCATGGTAAATACTTGTACTCACTGCAGTATAATTTGTACACGTAAAAGGTAAGGCGAGATACTCCATGTTCAATAAGTATGGTATTTACTTTTCCCTGCTTTCCTTTTCAGACCCATCATGGCATATTGAGAGAGAAAGTGAAACGTACAAACTCACGGTTGCTTAGAATCATTCTAGTGTGCTTAAATGGGTTGTACACACAATGTTTGTGTGTGTGTGTGTGTGTTTGAGATTGAAGGAAGGAACTTACACAACTTGGCGCTGGTTCCAGAGGATTGAGTAAGCATGGAAGTCTTTGGTTGGATCGAACCAGAGATTCAGTCTCTGTTCACGGTTGCCGACGCCATTGACGTACACATTTGTCTGAACAATATAAGGCTCTCCGGTGGTGTTCCCGAGGAACTCGAAATCAAACTCGTGGTGTTTAGCGCCATCTGATGACATCTGATAAGATCATGAACAATGGAGTCAAACAACTAATTATCGATTCAACTGTTTTGAGATGCAAGCTTTTGGATTAACTTACATAGAATGCAGTGACTGTTCCGGCGGAATCACCTTCAACAAGCTTGATCTGAACGTTTACTTTCCCAAACATGTACTTCGACTTTGATGAAAATCCAGCTCCTGGAAATCAGATTTCATAAGTGACTTGTTTATACAAATTAGTCGTAGCAAGGGAAAATTAATTAGTAAATTAGGTTCGAATCGTGTAGTTACCGGAAAAGTTATCAAGCTTCATGTTCACAGTATCTCCATCAAACGAGAAATGATCAGCAGCCCAGTAAGGCTGAAACAGCTCATCAAACTTTGAAGTCGAAGTCACAGAGCAAACAGACAGTGAAAGCAGCAATGCGAGAGTGATTAAAGACGAAGAGGAAGAAAACGCCATGAAAGAGAGAGAGATAAGAAGGTTCTGTTGATTTGCAGAGAACTGATGAGTGAAGAAGGGAAGAGGTGTGGGGTGGTTTTATAGCAGGGTGGTGAGAGAAGTATGTTGTGTATGGTAATGGACATGTCAGAGCCACGTTGGATTTAGAAGGACATGTAGGACGAGTAGGGTCCACAATAGGAAAATTTAAATTAAAAAACTAGCCGTTTAAGCTGGCTGTAGATGGATGTTTGGAGTAAAAGTGGGCACAGGGTACGAATAGTCACTGTCGGAAAAGATGGCTGCAAATGTAAGCGAATGAGTAGCTGACACGTGGTGTACTACAGCTGGATACGGTATGGTCCAGCTGTCATTTACGCAGTGGTTAAAAAGGACAGCCTTCTTTTGCTCAGTTTTACATTCACCACTCCCTTTGATGATAGATGCTCCCACGCGCTCCTGCTCTAGTTCATACGATGCGTGGAATACAAACGCCACTTGATAATTTGAAGTTCCCAAATGAGTGAAAGAGTTTTTCAAGATATCAATACATTCATGGGGTAAACTGCAGATCTTAGTTTAGTTTTATTACTTTTTCATTAAGTTTTATAATATTTGTATGTTTTTTTTATATGTATTGACCAATTATAATTAAAGTAATTATCAATTTTTTTGAATAGTGAGTGAGATTATAGAGAGTGAGATTGTAGAGAGTAGCATGTAAAATATCTTTTGCTTTTTTGTTTTATTCTTTCAGAGATGATGTCAAAGTGCCAGCTGGGACAGTACAGTTTTCCACTCAATTTTTTTCCTCACATTTTAAAACCCAATTAAATAAATACCCGAAAATAATCACCAATCCCCCACCATACCAAAAGTAACACTCTTTTCTTCTTAAATATCTATGAGTATTCGAGTTATTTATATTTCTATAAATATACGGTAGGAAATTATTATTTTTGAAAAAATTGCAAAATGACATTTTATTTCGAAATTTTGAACTTTTTGTATAGAGTTTGTTAAAAAGACACTCTATTTACCATATAGACACCTCATTTTATTTCGAAATTTTGAACTTTGTATATTATAGGCCAACAAGTTTAATTTTTAACTTATAAGAAAAAAAATCCAAATTTGAGAAAAGTTCCATTTCTATATATTGTATAAACGTCTAGTTTAATGAAACTTTTTAAATCTTAAAACAAGTTAAAATAGTTGTTTAATGTTTACACCTTTCAGAAGTTTTAGTTTTTAAGTTTCCAATTATTTTTTATGAAAATCTATATATATATATATATATATATATATATATATATATATATATATATTTCGATTTCCATCTATGAGCTATCAGATTATAGTTTTTTATTATCAGTTCTCAAATTTCAGATTTAGTTTTGACAGAAATAGCCATACTTAAAAAAATTTAAATTCAATTTGAACATTTTTTCTTAATTTCTCTATATTTTATCATCATCATCTTATCTATCATTTTTATTCATTGTTCTTTTAATTTTCTGTTTCAAATCTTCGTTTTGTAAAGAAAAAGATGAGTGTTTGCTCTCCTTTTTAATATGTAATTTATCATTTCAACCAATATATAACAAAAAGAATAAAATCCAAAATCATGATCAATTTTGTAAACAAACTTAAGGATAACTTCCCCATCACGAATCATTTCCATTTGGTAAACAATGCTAATTTTGTTGGAACAGTTAATTGGAGCTGGGATTTAGAGTCATCTAGGATATTCAGTAGCATCTTTGAGAAACCATATCAATATGACTATTCTCCCTTGATCTAATGAGAACTGGGGGTGGAACCCATGAGTTCCCGAGAAATTAAATATTCTAACGTAGACAATTATTCACTGTTGACTACCAACAATTGTTAACTTATCTAAAATTGGCATTGGAACATCCACCTCATGCAGGATCTGTGGTGAAGCTCTAGAAAACGAGAACCATATTTTTATTGAATGTGGGATAACAAAAGAAGATTGGCAAAGAGTATCTAGTTAGTGGCGATTGCTGGACTCTACCGTTCATGCGACTCAGGATCTTCCGAATTTTAAAAAGTTGTTGAAGGGTCACAAAAGACTGTCAAACATTCACGAAGTGCTTATGCTTTTGAAACACTCGGAACTTGAAGGCTCACTCCTCAGGCATCAAATCTCATTGTACAATCTATGTCTTTATTTTGGATTAATGCGAGGAAACGGAAGGGTGAAGCTCTCATATGGGTTGATTAGTGTAACGATGATGTTTTTGAAGACTTTATTCATATTTGTATTATGTTTGTTTTGTTTTGTATTTTATCTTGGACTTTCCAACTTTGTACCCCCTAGACGGCTAGTGTTTTTTAGTGTCAGTTTGTGATTAAAAAAAATAAAACAAAACAAAAAACTCAAACTCAAACTCGCTTAATAATTTTCAAACTAAGGAACAAGTACAAAACTCATCATAAAGTTTGAGAATTTCAAAATTTTCTTTTGAAAAACCGATTTTCAAATATATTTTTTATGGCAAAGATATATTTGAGTCTAAAAAAACTTATTTTTTCAAAAAAGTAATAATACTTTAAAACAATAACAAATTTAGGTTATTAAACAACTTATTATTTTAAATAATCAGATTTATTGTACTCCAGAATTGGGAAGTGCACCACATATTTTTCTAGTCCTCTTTTTACGTTCCCCACATCCCCAAACTACAACATCCACCCACCCTGCCACCCATTAACCATGTCTTAGTTGATAAGTATAACTGGACCCCCTCAACATTCGCTTATGATAGTAGAAGTCCTTGTATATTCTTATTTATGTTGGCTGTATCCCTTTGTCAATTGTCAACAACCAAGCATATGTTCAGTTCCAAAGATATTACATTATTCTTATTTCCAAATAATCATTACAGTTATGTAATAACTTAACTTTTAAGAAAAAATTAATAACCTATCTTGATAATATTTTTCAAAATCTATTTCAAGATATCTATTCTAAGAAGTACATGTTTGATAAATCATCCAGTTAACTATTTGTTTATATAGTTTATTAATACTCATGTATTATACTAAAAACGTTAAATATAAAATTCTTAACATTTAATAAATTTGAATTTATAAGAAAAAATAGAAAAATATTAAATTATTAAAATTAAAATGTTTTTTCTCTTTTAAATTTAAACAAATAATAGATAAATAATCAAAAGAAATTAATAGAGTTTTAATTTAGAAAAATTTGAAATTAGAATGAAAGTCAGGTAATGAAATTGATATGCGTTTATTATTATATTTAAACAATTAATATATTTAATTAACTATTATATGAAATTTAATAAAAATGAAAACAACCACAAAATATCATGTGAGAAAAATTTAATTGAAATAACCACAAAATAACATGTGACGAAATCAATAAGAATACAACATGTGACAAAAAAGTTTTCTAGAGTATATTATCTTTCTTCGAACATTGAATGCTTCTAAATTAGAATAGTCTATTTATATCAACTTTGGTATATACATATTCATATGAAAATGCCAACGTGTATGCTACAATGAAGAGTTGAGTTAATTGAAACAAAAGTAATGTATGGAATTACATCTCGTATACGTTTGCAAACTGAACTAAATTCAAAAAGAACTTCATGCAACGAAATGATATAATGCAAAAAACAAGTGGTCAGAGTGTGAGGAAAAACATTGCTTTGGGGTTGAAATAAATATTATGAGGGCAGCAAAGTGAAAGTAGACCTTAAA